AACCTATTTAGTGTTTGTGCAAGGCACCATAGGACTGCTTGTAAGTAATCGCTTTTTTGATTTAGTTTGAATTTCTTGCCTTCAATTTCAATTTCACTTTGTGTTTACAGCCTCCAAATTTGTACTTGCAGAAACATCAGCATATGTATCTGTTTCCTGGCTTCTTTATTGGCAGCCTCCATTAAAGACTATGGAAACTTCAATTCAGAGAATTGTATGTTTAGTGGCTATCCTGTTTTGCTTGGGCCTGTGAGTTTAATAGTAAATAATAAAGCTCATGCTGGGTGTACTTTGCAAATTTGCAAACAGCTTTGGTGGAATAACCCTTTTTGCATGTTGTTGCCCACCAAAACTGAAAAATCGCAAATTTTTTTCACATAGAAGACAAGTTCTCCAAATGTCCCAGCTCCCATTAAAGGACATTCCACTGTTGCAAACAATCAACAATGTTTTACCTAATATCATGAAATGTTCATGCTTTCGTGTTTTGGTGTAGGAGATATGAGATCCACTCTCCATCACCTCTCAGGTCCTAGTTTTTCTGGTAAATTTGACCCAAATTTGCAAGCCAGCAAAAACTGTAAAATTTAACGGAACAAAATTTGTGTTTTGTATCTGATATAAATGGACATAGAACTTCTTATAAAAAGCCAGAGATGTGCGCAATAAGCACAAGTCAGTCTAAACCATTTAGTTTTCGAATACAGTAAAAACCCGCATGTAAGAACCTAGGGATTTAAGAACCTTCAGGCAGAAATTTGCTGTTTTAATACCCCAAAATATAAGAACCTGTTTAGCCGAACAAATTCCAACAGGTTCTTATATGTGGGGTTTAACTANTAAATTTGAACTGTTATTATGAAACAATTATTGCTACAATTTACAGAATGTATCATTTCTATGTAATCTTAGTCTTGGTTCAAATGCTCCATGCATGTATCCTCTTGCATTTTGATCATTGTCTTAATATAACTTTAACCAGTAACACTGGACACTTCAAGAGCTCCTTGGAGTATGAACAAGACATCAACTGTGTCTGGTACTAGATAAATATTTTTAATATACTCATACAGTATTATATATATTGAAATATATATCTAATTTTTTTGCAATTTCTATCAATTCAATTTGTTTCTGTCACAGCAGTGTTTCCATATTGACAGTTCTTGATGGAAAGATACATTTTATATACAGTACTGTATCATTGATCAATTAATGATCAATTTAACGTTAAATAAGTGAGCCCAAAAATTAAACATTGCACATTCGCAGGATTTTAGTCATATCCTGCACGCAACTCTGTAGGTGTTTTTTGCTGTTCACACTTATTTAATTCCAAGCGAAATGCATTACCAGTATGAAAAAAGAGGAAGAAACAGACTAGGGTTATGCTT